ACGAAAGGTAGGGGGGGGCAAAAGAGAGCAACAGGAAAAATATTGCCAAACTGAGATTGATACTTCTCTTCACTCAAACCTCCTGCAGAAGAAAATGTTAGCCCCCAAAAAAGCTTTGTGGGAATAGAATCAGAAACATAATGTCAAATGTAAAGTAACTTCACGAGCGCGCGCGCGCGCCGCGCGCGCGCGTGAACCATCCTGCATGCAGGTGCTTCTCCGCGCGCGCGCGGCGAGCGCACGCATGTGCGGGACGTAAACATTGCGAGTCTCTATTCCCCGGCACGGCCTCAATGGAACTAGAACATCCACGATAGATCGATAGATCAATACATCGATAGATAGATAGATAGATAGATAAAACTATAAATAAATAAATAGATGAATAAATAGATAGAGAGATAGAAGCATCGATCGATAAATAGATAGATCGATGGCTACCTTGATCGATAAACAGATAGATAAATAGATAGATCAATAGGTAGATAGATAGATAGATAGATCCAAGGATAGATAGATAAATACATACATAGATGGACAACTAGATAGATAGATATATCGATAGATAGATGGATAAGGAGGTAGGTACAGAGTCAGAGAAAAAGAGAGAGAAAAAAATGCGGACCCGGGGGGGATCGAATGGGGGGGGAGGGGGGGGCCCCCCCCCCTAAGTCTCCGTTCGTGACTCTCGGCTTTCAATTTCCGGGAAAGGAGCAGCCACCTCCCCCAGTACTAAACTAGTACTAAAGTACATAGAACTCAGGTAGCCTAGGCTACCTTTCGTGATATATATAAGTCAGTGAGACATTGCCTGTGATTTCTCAGGAGGATATATTCCTTGGGGAACACCGCACTTAGAACATCCCATGGAAATCATTCCCCACATGCAATCTTCTGCATATATTAATATATATAAATAAAATTGATTTGAATGTTTGGGTCTATATACAATGAAGACATCCCCATGTTGAAAAACATTGTTTGCTCATTTTGATCCATGTGTTTGCAAACAAGGGTTGATTTTTTTGGTGAATTCATCCCAAATCAGAACTCCAAATAAGAATGAGATCATATGAGATGGGAATATCATTATGTATATAATGTATATATATATATTTCCTTTAATTATATAAATATTTAAATATAATACATTACCTGGGGAAACCGCACTTAGAACACCTTATGTAAATCATGCCCCAATTCAAATCATGAGATTGGAACTAGCCAATGGCTTTTCGCGTCATCTGTCCGTGCCTGGTCAAAGAAGCAAAGCGCCCTGTCCTGGAATGTGAGACCCAGTTGCTTTCGTCGAAGGCGTATCTCCTAGAGGGAAGGGGCCCCAAACTTGAGGGCCGACCTGAAGGAAAGCAGCCCCAAAACACATAAATATGTGTGTGTATATATATGTATATATACATATGATGTATGTATTTATATATATATATATATTTGTTTTTTTATCTACATATATATATTTGGGGTAGATTATATATATATTATATTATATATTATATATATTATATATATATATGTTTAAATGCTTTTGTTGCACAACACTAAGAAAATTTCCCATCCAGCTCCTGGCTTAGGTGAGCCAGGTACCGTACAAAGGTCGATTCGCTCCACATGTGGGACTTGGGCTGCGGCTGGTCGATAACTAGGTGCCTACCCAGCTCCTTTCCAAGACGCATACGTGTTTCATCTGGCAAACTTCCTTCTCGGAGAGTTACGAAGGACCTCCCTACATGTCCGTCCACAAAGCTCAGCGTGGTCACTGTTCGAGGCACACGCCACTCACTAACCATAGCTGTAGCAGCCTTGCCGCCAGAAATTTGTGGCGGTTTGGGTGCCTGGACCAATTGCTTTTCACTGGGGTTGAGTTCTGTGACTGGAAGATTCATCGCTACTTCCAAGTTGTGCCGGATCTTTCTAAGGTAAAGTGATTTTTTCAATGCATCATCTCGATGGCCAGCCAGTGCTGAATCCTTTTGCAAGCATGACCGCTTTGGTCTGAACTGAAGAGACCAGACTTGGTCAAAATTGCAGACAAGTCTCTCGTGGACCGAATGTCCATCTGTGAGAGACTTAATATACGTTCTGATGGCTTCCAACGACGGATGCCCATGTGGTAAGTGTGCGCCAGGCTTTTCGTTGCTGCGCATGCGCAAACCAAATTGGTTGCACAATCGCTCCGCCTGCTTCCTTGTTGGGCACCCCGTGGTTGGGGAGCAAGACTCTGCACTTAGAACATGGTTGAGATATTCTTACGAGAACACTCTGGGAGTGACATTCTTAGTCAGACACTCTTAGTGAGACAATCCTGGAATATGTATATATATATAAATAATATATATATACATATGGGAATATTATATATATATAATGACAAACCAATGAAAGAATTTATCTATATACACATATATATAATATATATATATATATGGGAATATTAAGACCCTAAAATGAAGATACTGTACCATTAGGTGCTAGCCAAGGCGCCTCAGAGCACCACTCGTTTTGCAGACACTCACAGAGACCAGCACTTCATCGACTTTCTGGTACATGGACTGAAACGTTGCATCCAACTCTGCCGATGACAATTGGGACAACCGTTCATCCTCAGCCCTTAGCATGTCTATGTTTTTGGAACGAATTATCTCACGCATGAGTTGGATATTGTCGTTCCAGAGAGAGCAGCACCAAATGATTGTGTTTTGGACAAAGGCAAGCCCCACTTCTTCCCCAGCATCAATCCGTTCCATCACCATCTCTTCCACAACTAGCTTCAGAACAAAAGGCATTACTGTTTTGCTTTGTGACTTCACAGGCTTGTTTCCGCTTCCACCCTTGAAAGTAGGATGATCTATGATCAAACGCAAGCTGTTTGGGAGCTCTTTCTTTGCTTTGCACAATTTGGGGGCTGTTTGGCAAAGTAAGGTCCATTGCTGTTCGATACGGGTTTTGCCCGTGCAGCCCTTGTAGTAGCCAGGCATTTTCATGTTTTCCAGCTCTTTCCCTGGCTTCATTGAACCTTCTGCAACCAAATGGTCATATGCTTTGCATATTGCCTCTTTTTGAAAGATAGAGACTGCTGCTGATTTTCCCGTTGCTTTTTGGTTTCCTCTGCCATATCCCCGACCCTTTTTTGGTGGTTTGGATGAGAAGGCCAAGGCAGACTGTTTGCCACGAACTCGACGAGTAGGAACAGGAAGAGAAGGTTTGCCATCATCATGTTGTTTTCTCTTGCGGCCCTTGTTCTCCTTCCTCTCCTCACCCGCTTCATCCAAACCCATACCGGCCTCAGAAGCAGGCTGGGCAAACTCTGGGCTGTCCGCTTCAACCACTGCATTGGGCATTGGTTCTGGCGATGATGCAACCGGGCGATCAATCTTCAGAAAAGCATCCGAGCTGCACAAAGCAGCTAAAACAACGGCTTGAGCTACAGTTCCAGTCATGGCATTCCCAGCAAAATCTTGCGCTAGTTTTTGAACCATCATCCTATCATAGGCATCTTGGTTCTTGCAATCCTCTCTCCAAATTCCCTGAAGCCCAAGCATCTCCATAGGGGTAACATACCTTTTCAATGAGGCTGAGTAGATAGGATGGGAAGGAGTAATGCAAGTCGCTGCATCAATGCAATATTCCAAGCTCTGGTTGCCTCTTTTCAAAGAAGAACTCATGTCCACAAAGAGATTGGTGCTAGACCCATCCTTAGCTTTTCAGTGGAACCTTGGGAATTCCTGGATAGGGCCATTGCTTGGGAAATACCACACTTAGAACATCCCGTCTCAAGCATGCCCCAAGTCAAACTTCCCCTGAAGATTCTATATATATATAAGGTGTACCCCTTCATAGGCATAAAAATGTGAGAGCATTCCGTGTTCAGCAAAAACTATATACTATATATTTTACTAAAAAGACAAATATGTTTATATACAAATTGAATGTATATATATATATGTTGTTATATTAAATATTGATACATCGTGGTTTTCTCAATGGAGATATTACTTGGAGAACACCGCACTTAGAACATCCCTTGGAAATAGTTTCCCACATGAAATCTTCCACATATATGTAGGTATATAATGGTGTATATATATATATATATAATTGATTGAAAGGTTTGGGTCCAAAATGAAGACATTCCCATGTTGAAAAACACTGTTTGGTCATTTTGATCCATATGTTTCCAAACACCGGTTGTTTTTGTTGGCTCATCCAAAAGCCCAACCCCATATGAGAATGAGATCATATGAGATGGGCATAAAAGAATTTCCTGCGATAATTCATTACTTGGGGAACACCGCACTTAGAACATCCCTTGCAAATAGTTTCCCACATGAAATCTTCCACATATATGTAGGTATATAATGGTGTATATATATATATATATAATTGATTGGAAGGTTTGGGTCCAAAATGAAGACATTCCCATGTTGAAAAACACTGTTTGGTCATTTTGATCCATATGTTTCCAAACACCGGTTGTTTTTTGTTGGCTCATCCAAAAGCCGAACCCCATATGAGAATGAGATCATATGAGATGGTGCATATCCCTAAAGAACTTCTTCGATAATTCATTACTTGGGGAACTCGCACTTAGAACATCCTTGGAAATTTCCCACATGAAAGCTTCCACATATATGTAGGTATAATAATGGTGTATATATAGTATATTTAATAATTGATTGGGGAAAGTTTTTCGGTCCAACTGAAACATTCCCATGATAAAAACACGTTTTGTCATTTTGATCATATGTTTCAAACACCGTTGTTTTTTGTTTGGCTTCATCCAAAGCCGAACCCCATATGAGAATGAGATCATATGAGATGGGCATATCCCTAAAGAACTTCCTTCGATAATTCATTACTCGGGGAATACCGCACTTAGAACATCCCTTGGAAATAGTTTCCCACATGAAATCTTCCACATATATGTAGGTATATAATATAATGGTGTATATATATATAATTGATTGGAAGGTTTGGGTCCAAAATGAAGACATTCCCATGTTGAAAAACACTGTTTGGTCATTTTGATCCATATGTTTCCAAACACCGGTTGTTTTTTGTTGGCTCATCCAAAAGCCGAACCCCATATGAGAATGAGATCATATGAGATGGGCATATCCCTAAAGAATTTCCTTCGATAATTCATTACTTGGGGAACACCGCACTTAGAACATCCCGTCCTAAACATGCCCAATGTTAAATCTTCACTGTCTCTGAGGGATTGGGATACAAGTATATATATATTTGCCAAGCAAGAATCAAGCTTAGCTTTCTCTTGGGCCATTGCCAGCAATTCTGCTTCACGAGACGTTCGGGGTTCTTCTTGGCCGAAGTCTTTGAAAGACTCTTCCATTGTGAAGTGGCAATGTGTTTGCATGGCTTGGAGTGCTGTCTTGAATCTTTCCTGGAACTGGTTTTCAGCCTGTGACCCTGTGTTGACAACAGCCGCACCCCAGACCCTGTTGCGCCTTTGTCGGACCAGAAAATTCTGTGAGTCCAATAATTCATGAGCCTCAAGACAGGGCTGGCAAGAATATTCTTTGCAACCAAACATGGATAAATTGATGAATAAACCACCAATTCCAACACCAATACCTATGAATAATATATATTTATACTTGCACAGCATATGTTTTCTGTCTGTATATAAACATATATATATACATATACATTTATATGGGAGCACATGTAGTATGTGTGGGATGTGTGTGTATATACATGTGTGTGTGTATGTGCCTGAGCAAGTCATCCATTTTGTATGACACATGATCCAAGAAACAAAGTTGTATCCCAGAGAGTGGGCATCATCAACAACAGATTGGATAGCCGGACGGCGCGTTCCACCCTGTCCATCAGACATTCGTTCGGTGGCTCCCTTCACATTCTCGTAGATGGAAAAAATTGGGCAAACGGTATCGGTTGCCTCAGTACAAAATGTTGCATCTAAAGTACGTGAAAAGTACTTCTATGTGAGAATCGAACTCTGTGTGTCCGGCCGAGATGTGTTATGCCGGTAGTTTGACCCATATGTTTCCAAACACCGGTTGTTTTTGTTGGCTCATCCAAAAGCCCAACCCCATATGAGAATGAGATCATATGAGATGGGCATATCCCTAAAGAACTTCCTTCGATAATTCATTACTTGGGGAACACCGCACTTAGAACATCCCTTGGAAATAGTTTCCCACATGAAATCTTCCACATATATGTAGGTATATAATGGTGTATATATATATATAATTGATTGGAAGGTTTGGGTCCAAAATGAAGACATTCCCATGTTGAAAAACACTGTTTGGTCATTTTGATCCATATGTTTCCAAACACCGGTTGTTTTTTGTTGGCTCATCCAAAAGCCGAACCCCATATGAGAATGAGATCATATGAGATGGGCATATCCCTAAAGAACTTCCTTCGATAATTCATTACTTGGGGAACACCGCACTTAGAACATCCCTTGGAAATAGTTTCCCACATGAAATCTTCCACATATATGTAGGTATATAATGGTGTATATATATATATAATTGATTGGAAGGTTTGGGTCCAAAATGAAGACATTCCCATGTTGAAAAACACTGTTTGGTCATTTTGATCCATATGTTTCCAAACACCGGTTGTTTTTTGTTGGCTCATCCAAAAGCCGAACCCCATATGAGAATGAGATCATATGAGATGGGCATATCCCTAAAGAACTTCCTTCGATAATTCATTACTTGGGGAACACCGCACTTAGAACATCCCTTGGAAATAGTTTCCCACATGAAATCTTCCACATATATGTAGGTATATATTTGCACTTGACTTGAATTGCATAGCCTAGGTACGGCCTTCCAACCATGCTGATATGTGTAGCCCGAAGTCCCACCTGCTGCTCCCGAAGTTTCACTTGCTGCTGTTTTTGCGTCCATGCCGGCACAATCATCATCGTAGCAACCGGCGAACTCGTTGCGATTGAGATTCAATTTGCCTTGGCTGGGTCAGCTGACTTGGCACAAATGTTGGTCACATGTGTATATATATATATATAAATCTTGGCAAATATATAGATAGAGAGAGAGAGACAAGGGAATGCTTGTGGCTGCACGTGTGCTTACATATATATATATATTATAATAATTTTTATTATAATTATTATTATTATTATATTTTATTATTATTAAAATTGTTACTATTATTATTATATATCTATGTATTATATGTATATTCGTTATATATATATATACACACCGATTTTGCCAAAGAACTTAAGTCCTTGCATGATGGACCACAAAGATGAATGTCAACCTTCAAATTGTCCCCATTGATTGCATGCTCACATTCACATCGGTGGCAATAGCCACTCTTCCGGGAGAAGCATGATACATCGGAGAATGTGTGAAGAACATCCTGCGTCTTCATGATGTACTCCATTTTTTTGGCATCAGCTTCGACCGCATAGATGTGCTTCACGGTGATATTGACCTGAGTGGATGCATTCTATCAGAATATCATTCCTTGGGAACCACCGCACTTGGAACATCCCCACATATTTATATAGAGTTTTGGATACATACATATATATATATATATTATATAGGTTCCCCAAATGAATAGATTATATATATAGGAACCCTTGAGCAACCTGGAGTTGCTTGGATGGCGATGCCCGGGTATATTCCTTGGGCAATGTACTACTTAGAACACCTTAGTTACATGTATATACAGCATTTGACATTTAATACCCCAGACAGATTCGGAATTGCAGCCAAGCAACTCCAAACTCATGGTTGATTCCCTCAATGAGGCCCCGAATGGCATCCACACACACGTCAACGCCAGAACAGGCTGTACCTACGCGAAGCTCAGTGCCGTCTAGCTCTGTAGCAACTTCCTGAAGGTGCTTGTAGTTCTCTGTAGGCAGAAGGTTGATAAACCAGGCAGGGGTTGAAAACAAAGAGGGTTTGGGCATTGTTAAGCCCATAATCCCTTGGTTGAGCTGTGATTTGAGGCATGTGAAGTGCCTATTCCTGAACCTTGCAGCAGTGAATCGAACTGTCGTTGGTGCCTTCAAGGCCTTAATCTTGTTGATTTTCCAGGCAAACACAAGCTTTTCAGCTTTGATTTTGTCAATCCAGAACTTAGCCTCGCTGTGGTTTGTCTCATACTGTCTCACGTGACAAGCTCGGTTCAATTCCACTGTCTTGGACACATTGATTTGGCCCACATAGTGACAGCTGGTGCCATCACCCACATTCACCAGGACAAAAAGCTTTTGCGGAACATGTCTCAGGGCATAACCCCGCAAAAAGTAGCCTCCACTGTTCTGTTTCATTTTCTCCCAAGTGCTCTCTGGAAGCATGATGCACTGAACTTTTGTGTCTTTACTGGGGCTTGGGGTGCCGTTTTCATGCTGCTGCGTGCATCCAGGTGTTGGAGGTACCTGCAAAGAAGACATATGGGAAACCTTTGCAGCCAAGGCTTCATCGATTCTGCGTTTCTTTGCTGCCTCTTGTTCCAATTCTTCCAACACATCTTTGCATAACATCACATCCTCTACAGATGGGAGCGGTGATGTAGGCTCACGTTTGATAGCAGGGTCTTGCAACGGCTTCTGCACTGCTATCTGCCATGGTGTGGGCATGGTTGCCGTGCTGCTTTTTCTTCGCCTTTTTGAAACATGCTGTGGCTGCATTGGGCTTATGACTTCATCTTTCACTTCTACTTTGACACCACTGCTGCTGCTGCTGATTGATACAGTGCTGCCCTGACTTGCTCGAGAGTATGCTCGCTTAATGCTTGCTGATTGTGCCCTCTGCTGCTGCAGCTGCATCTCTCTAATGAAAGATAGTTTAGCTGCTTCCGCTTTGGTTGCTTGCCTTGGCTGCGATGCTTCACTGTTCTGTTCTCCTTGCTCTTGTGGAGCTTGATGCTTCTGGCTTGCTGTTTGCTCAGTGCTTGCTTGATGTTGGAGCTCAGTTGGACCACCTGTCTCTGTTGCATGTTCTGCCGTGGCATCTGTTGCAGGTGCAGTCTCACGAGTGGTCAGATGTTCTAAGTGCGTCTTCCCCAGGCTTGGTGCTGCAGGTGTCGCATTCTTGGCCGGTTGGCTGCTTGCTTCTACTTTGGCTGCTTCTGGCTGCTCTGATGCTTTGCCTTGCTGTTCTCCTTGCTCTTGTGGAGCTTGTTGCTTCTGGCTTGCTGTTTGCTCATTGCTTGCTTGTTGCTGGAGCTCAGTTGGGCCACCTGTCTCTGTTGCATGTTCTGCCGTGGCATCTGTTGCAGGTGCAGTCTCAGGAGGGGTCGGATGTTCTAAGTGCGTCTTCAACAATCTTGGTGCTGCATGTGTCGCACTCTTGGCCGGTTGGCTTCTTGCTTCTACTTTGGCTGCTTCTGGCTGCTCTGATGCTTTGCCTTGCTGTTCTCCTTGCTCTTGTGGAGCTTGTTGCTTCTGGCTTGCTGTTTGCTCAGTGCTTGCTTGATGTTGGAGCTCAGTTGGGCCACCTGTCTCTGTTGCATGTTCTGCCGTGGCATCTGTTGCAGGTGCAGTCTCAGGAGGGGTCGGATGTTCTAAGTGCGTCTTCCCCAGGCTTGGTGCTGCAGGTGTCGCACTCTTGGCCGGTTGGCTGCTTGCTTCTACTTTGGCTGCCTCTGGCTGCTCTGATGCTTCGCCTTGCTGTTCTCCTTGCTCTTGTGGAGCTTGTTGCTTCTGGCTTGCTGCTTTCTCAGCGCTTGCTTGTTGCTGGAGCTCAGTTGGGCCACCTGTCTCTGTTGCATGTTCTGCCGTGGCATCTGTTGCAGGTGCAGTCCCAGGAGTGGTGGGATGTTCTAAGTGCGTCTTCCCCAGGCTTGGTGCTGCAGGTGTCGCACTCTTGGCCGGTTGGCTGCTTGCTTCTACTTTGGCTGCTTCTGGCTGCTCCGATGCTTTGCCTTGCTGTTCTCCTTGCTCTTGTGGAGCTTGTTGCTTCTGGCTTGCTGTTTGCTCATTGCTTGCTTGATGCTGGAGCTCAGTTGGGCCACCTGTCTCTGTTGCATGTTCTGCCGTGGCATCTGTTGCAGGTGCAATCTCAGGAGGGGTCGGATGTTCTAAGTGCGTCTTCAACAAGCTTGGTGCTGCAGGTGTCGCACTCTTGGCCGGTTGGCTGCTTGCTTCTACTTTGGCTGCTTCTGGCTGCTCTGATGCTTTGCCTTGCTGTTCTCCTTGCTCTTGTGGAGTTTGTTGATTCTGGCTTGCTGTTTGCTCAGTGCTTGCTTGATGTTGGAGCTCAGTTGGGCCACCTGTCTCTGTTGCATGTTCTGCCGTGGCATCTGTTGCAGGTACAGTCTCAGGAGTGGTCGGATTTTCTAAGTGCGTCTTCCCCAAGCTTGGTGCTGCAGGTGTCGCACTCTTGGCCGGTTGGCTGCTTGCTTCTACTTTGGCTGCTTCTGGCTGCTCTGATGCTTTGCCTTGCTGTTCTCCTTGCTCTTGTGGAGTTTGTTGATTCCGGCTTGCTGTTTGCTCAGTGCTTGCTTGATGTTGGAGCTCAGTTGGGCCACCTGTCTCTGTTGCATGTTCTGCCGTGGCATCTGTTGCAGGTGCAGTCCCAGGAGTGGTGGGATGTTCTAAGTGCGTCTTCCCCAAGCTTGGTGCTGCAGGTGTCGCACTCTTGGCCGGTTGGCTGCTTGCTTCTACTTTGGCTGCTTCTGGCTGCTCCGATGCTTTGCCTTGCTGTTCTCCTTGCTCTTGTGGAGCTTGTTGCTTCTGGCTTGCTGTTTGCTCATTGCTTGCTTGATGCTGGAGCTCAGTTGGGCCACCTGTCTGTGTTGCATGTTCTGCCTTGGCATCTGTTGCAGGTGCAATCTCAGGAGGGGTCGGATGTTCTAAGTGCGTCTTCAATAAGCTTGGCGCTGCAGGTGTCGCACTCTTGGCCGGTTGGCTGCTTGCTTCTACTTTGGCTGCTTCTGGCTGCTCTGATGCTTCGCCTTGCTGTTCTCCTTGCTCTTGTGGAGCTTGTTGCTTCTGGCTTGCTGTTTGCTCAGTGCTTGCTTGATGTTGGAGCTCAGTTGGACCACCTGTCTTTGTTGCTTCGGCTGGTTTACACTGTTGCTTGGCAATTTCTGCTGTGGCAGCCTCAATGCTGTTATCCTGCATGATAGATAGAAGTCTTTGGCTCTGCAATGATATTTTTGGATCAGCCTCGTGTGCTATGCACAAAGGGGTGCAAAAATTCTACATAATGATGACGGTGGTGAAGAAACTGTATATAAAATGAACCCCTACCCATCTATATATATACATAGAATCATGCTATCGGACCATTTAGGTGTTGTTTTATGTAATATAAGGGGGATGGTACGACACCAGAAAAATGAATTGTAACAAACTTTGATCAGGAAACCACCTCATCCAATGCCAAAGAATCTTTTCCAGCTTTGCCCGAAACGGGTAGGAGCAATGTGTAGTGCCCAAATTGATGGGTGCCGGCTGCTGCCCAATCGAAAGAGAAATACAGATATACATTCGGATCTCCTACTCCGTAGACCGTATCCAAGGCGCAATTCTCCGATGTGCACACCTGGGGAAGCAAAGACACTGTGACTATTGGGCATACGCAGAAAACTGAATGATATATAGACATATATATAAATATTATATATATATACTCATTTGTTTATCATTTATATATAAGAACACTTTGGTAGGAACCCCTTCGAACACAGAGAGGTGGATGTACTTTGAATATTATATATATATACATGTATATATATATATACATTTGGCAACACTTAGCCTTGGGGTCGCAAGTACACCGAATGCAGATTGAACATGTGAAAGATATCCACTCCAAGTCTGCAGGAGAGAAATTCGGATGTTTCAAAACTTCTCGAATGGCCGGATGATAGGATTTGTCACAAACTTGGAGGGCCTTCTCACAAACCGCCTGATGTAAATCCTTGGCTCGTTGTACTTCTTGCTGCAAGACCTGAGTATTGATCGGATGGGCTCCTTGGTTTCGTGGAGTCCTTTCCCAAGTCACGACATCCTCAGCAGCCATTAGGGCATACCACCCGCATAGCCCATCTGCGGGCACATGGACTTTCCGGAAAGGTACCTTCCGACACATCTTTTTTGGCTCCTGGCTTTGAATGACTTGTGCCAGCATGGCCTTGCATATCTTTTTGGTGGCATGTTCTAAGTGGCTGACACCTAAATCTTCAAGCCAGCAAATGTTATACTGGAGTCGTTTTTCAATATTGTGCGGCTGGCTCGTGTAGGAGACTGTTACAGCCGTCATGTTGCCTGTTTCTGCGTTCATTTCCCAAGCGGCAGCTTCTCCGGCCACTTTCTCACCGAAATGAACAACAATGAGAATGGGATTGGTGAGACCGGATGCATGCTCCAACACTGCAACTTGATTCTCTACTTTTGCCCAATGATCGTAGCTTCCAGTGACAAGAACCCCACAGCATTCAAGTCCCAAAGCTTTGCAGTGTGTTGCAAGCTGCTCGTTCTCAAGAACTTTGGTGACCGTACGGGAAGAGTTATTTATGAGGATAATTTGCGTGGCATGAAATTTTCCATTCCATGCTTTCTTTCCAAACAAAACACCATAGACTTCTTGGTTGGAGTAGGCCATTGTCATGAACGTCTTGAGGGAACCCTTGTGAACACACAGTGTGGATGGTGGCAACGGCACATTTTGCCAAGAGGCCTGTGCCAGGAAATTAGCAGTGACATCTTCAGCATCGGGGGGCAAAGTAGCAGGCGTAGATTCGCTCCCCAGAGCTAGGTCTAACCCTGATCCCGGACCCCCACTGGAACTACTTGGGCATCCATGTGACATCATTTGATCAACTGCCTTCTCCACCTCAACTTGCGGTTTGGCATCGTGTTTCATCTTTTTCATTCCTGCAGTAAGGGACCCCTGCTTCATCGATTCCAAAAAAGATAACAACCAATCATTGGCTGCCATGCTTGTGTCTACTTTCTTGCTGATCATCTCACCCGAGGCAGTGTGAAAGGTTGCAACCAACTTGGTAATGTCACAAGGGTCAAGTTCAACTTTGAAGGTATTCTTCAACCCTTCGGAAAATTTGACTGCATTGAGTATCTTTTGCTCTGCTTCCCGGACGCGGCCCAGAACAAGATACTCCGCCATCTTCACCTTCTGCTGGGCCAAGCTGCCATAGGTCGAGAATTTGTGGCTTTCCATCCAAGCCTTTCTGGCTTGTGCCTGGGAAAAAGAAGTTATGGGGAATTCCCTTGATATATATATATACTATAGGTAGATAAACAGATAGATAGGTAGATATATAGATAGATAGATAGATTAGATAGATAGACAGATATATAGATAGATAGATAGATAGATAGATCGATAGATAGATAGATAGAGATAAATATATAGATAGGGATAAATATATAGATAGAGATAGATACATAGATAGGTATAAGATTATATATATATATATATTTATATGTGCCACTTTTTGCCTTGAGACATTCCTTGGGCAACCCCACACTTAGAACATCCCGTTCTAAATCACCGCACAATTTTCACCCCATAATATATATATATATATTAACAGCAAAAAACCAACTTGTGACCCACATATAAAAACTTCAGCATTGACGTCAAGTGGAAAACTATATATATACATATACATATAATATATATATAACACATTCGTTTTCCTCCCCAAGCCCTGCTTTGTTTGTATAGAGCGGCCTTCCCCTTCATGTTTTCAAAAGTATCCAGTAGAGAGCAGCAGCACTTCTCGAATTGGATGGCCGCCGCCCGTGCTGAATCATCGGTCGGAAAGTGAGCCCTCATGAACTTTCTGGACTCATGCAAGATCCGAACATTTAACCTGAACAGCGAAAGTTGTATGTACTGCCTTGGGAACACCTTACTTAGAACATCACCACCGAACATCCCCTAATTTTCTTTTCACTGGAAAATTGAAGGTTTGGAAATTATATATATATATACGAACCAATGAAACCACATCTGAGCATATGAATATAAATATATATATACATAAGACATCTTTAAGAATCACCATGCTCCAAAATGATATATATGTATATATATGTATGTATGTATATATATATAATATGTCAAGTTCTCCAAAAGAACGGTCCTGGTTTGTGAATAACTGGGGGGTTCCTGAAGGTATGTGTTACCTTGGGAACACACCACTTAGAACATCACCA